ATTGCCCCTCTGCTGCCAGAGTAGTTACTTATTTAGCCTTCTAATCGGTAATATACACCAATCGAGTGAAGCTGAGCGTTAGACACTTTACACCTTCTGGTGGACAAGACGCGCACCGACTTACTAGAATTAAATAATAGAAATCCCGCAGCTAGAAGACCACTTTGTGACAAAGTTCAAATCTTCAAAATGTCATAAAGTGTGCCCAGAAGCATACCTCTGAGTTTCTTCTCTCCAAATGCTCTAGGAGTCATTGACGTTGACGATCCAAAAAAAAGTGATGCCATTAACTTTTTTTACTATTGTAAGTACCTTATTTGTACACACTGTAATATTATGCCGAAATCTACGAAGCTCGTCTAAAAAAAAAAGACAAACACGACCGATAAAGGCAACACTGAGAGGTCGTTAAGCTCCAAGAACTTGGCACGTGGACAAGTATCATATGTGAACACTTATGTACATACAAACATATCTACCCTGTAGGGAAAGCCTGAAACTAACTAGTCCGATAGTAACTAGTTCAAAAGCAACGAAATATGGTACTTTTAAAAAACTAATTCATTTTAATTTTTCAAACTACATATCGCTAGCTAAGAGTGAAAAGTTGCTGCTAAGTGCACTTTTTCAAAAAAAAATATATATATTTTGATCTAAGGAGCAAAAACAATAAAAATGTAATTCGAAAATATCGAATTACCTATTTTATTTCTAACAGTTTCTGTACAGTAATCCCAAAGAACGTAGATACTAAGAAGGGACAACTCGTTATAATTGCAGTGAGTGTGAGTAACAGGGGGGTGTGCCTTCTCTTTTGTCCTAGTACGTTTTTTGATTGGATGAAAAGAAAAGGCACGCCCCTGTTAGTCACTTTCACTACAATTATAGCAAGTTTTCCCTTCCTAGGAATTCCCTTGAACTGAAAATTTCGAAAAACCTAAAGTTTTTATTCGGAGGTCAAGATTTGGATGCAATGAAAAAATCCGGTTTGTTCGATCGAAAAATCCGGTTTATAAATCAAGATTTTTAAAAAATCGCCTATAGATTTCCAAAAAAACGGTGGAAACCTGTTTGGAAAAACCGAGTCAATCGCCCTACTAAGTAGCTACATATCGACGGCTGAGTGGAAGATCGACATATCTCGGCAGCCGGTTCGAAAACGCTCTATCTCAGAAAATTTTTCAAGAAACCCCGACTTCAGAATTTGCCTAAAAAACGCACTAACTCAGCATTTGACTAAAGAACGCCCTAACTCAGAAAATGGTTCAAGAACGCCCTATCTCGAAGTAATTTGCTTCAACCAAATTCTGAGATAAGGCGTTTTTCAAACAAATGCTGAAGTAGAGCCATTGGGCCATTTTCTGGCATAAGATGTTTTCGAATCGGCTGCCAAGATAGGTCGATCTTCCACTCAGCCGTCGATATGTAAACGTGTTCTCATATGCTGAGATTGAATTACATTCTTTTAAACAAATTTGAGTTCAAATTGAAAGCACATTCCCTTGAAAATAATTTAAAATTTCTACCATGCAGTATGGGTAATTTTGCCCGTTTTCGTGGCCAAAATTTATTAAGGTCAAACAAGTAGCTTATTTAACAAACGGTATTTTTTTTTAATTGATTGGAATTCGATTTCCCACATTTTTGTCAAAAAAAGCCTTAACCCTTGATGACCGATGGGTCACTTTTTAATTTGTGGTTATACTGAAAAAGATTGAATTTATTATTTTTTTTTTTATATGTAGATGGAAGAAAAAATCCGTGTAGTTACAAATGCAACTTATAGAGTGGATAAATAGTTCACTACTGACAGTATAAATAATACCTACAAAAAAAGCAATTTTCTCAGAATTAACGCAAAAAATCGCAACATGAAATTGGCAGATTAAACTGAAAACTCTTTATTTTAGACATTTTTGATAGTTTTTGATACTTTTTTATTCCCTCTATTTTTCTTAATTTTTTAGATAATTATTAACTTAACTATGGTCGTTCGAAAATAGCTAAAAAACCGAACACAAAATCGATTTCAAAATTTCGCTCACAAACAACGACTTTGACTATCTGCTAAGCAGTTTTTGTTCGTTTTTTTTACAAAAACAGAAGAAAAACAGGTTTGAAGTTTTGTTTATCAAATACCAAGACCGAAAATTTACTTTTGTAAGTACGAAAAACGACTTTTGGCTGACAAACTGATCAAATTGGTGCCATGGGAAAACCAAACAGACTCTGGTTGAAAAAGTCATATTACTTTTTTCGTCCGACGATTTTGGAACTGGTTCGGAACTATGTAAAAAGAGATGCAGAGCGAACTAGAAGTAACGCGCACTAGTCATGGCTGTAAATTATATAGTACCGAACCAGTTCGGCACTAGTGCGTTTTCGCACAGGGTATGTACATACATAGATAATCTGTGTATGTATGTATGTAGCTACTGTAGGAGCAAACGACCGTAACAAAAATTAGCTTCGTCGACTCATTCTCCTTTGACCTAAAAACTAAACGAATCTCGAGGGGCTTTTACGCGCAATGCTTCTTCTAGCCAAACTATTTACACACTACAATTTTACATTTGCTAGCTACTACATATATATATGCAAGTGTGTAAAACTGGTTGCAAAATTTTATTACTTATGTCCATATGGAAAATGCAGGGTAGTTTAGTATATATTTTTCGCTTACGAAATTTTGCGATACAGGCGTCAGAAAATCAATAGAACTCGTAACTCCCAGCCTCAAGAGATATGCGTTTCCAAACTGATGCAAAATTTAAATAGTACACGTAATGGCACAAACAAAAATACATTTAGAAAACAAAAAAAAAAAAAAGTTTAATGAACTGAAAATTTCATTCACTTACCATTTTCTGCATATCCCTGTCAATCCGCCGCAGCTCGCCAACTCCAACTCCACCACCAACACCAACACCGTCCATTTTGTGCGTTATGTCATTGCTTTGCACGCTACCATTTGGGACGGTATAATTTTCATCAACAGCAGGCTGCTGCTGTTCACGCTGTGTACATGTTTTTAGAGGCGCCACATTATCAGCACCTACAGTTCCTGTAATTGCCACATCAGCTCCAGTTGTTTCTGCTCCAGAGCCAATTGCTGTGACGCCTCCGGCACTTTTATCCTTTAGTGCATCCGTTTTGAAAGATTTCTGCTGCGCGTAATAGTTGTTTTGATGATTTAGATAACTACGACGCAACGATTGCGAACGCGTCAGATTGCCAACTGTGACAGCGGGTGTTTGCGTAGACAATGTTGAACCAGGCAGTAATACTACGGCGGCGGCGGCCTTGCGACGCGTTGCAGCAGCAACAACACCCCCAAACGAACCGGCTGTGGCGGTGTTGGCAGCGTTGTGCCGTTCGTGTATGTCACGTTGCATTGTTGGCTGTGGTTGTTGTTGTTGTTGCTGTTGTTCAAGCGCTCCCAACAGCGGGTGGTTGTAGCGGGTGTTGGCCGTATGCGGCGTGGCGTTGCTCAAGTGGCGCGTGCTGCGTTCCATTTCCATATAGTTGCCACGGTAATCGTTGAAGAGATTTGATTTTGAACCGCGCATGCGCAGTGACGCGGAACGTCGCAATAAATCGGGTGAGTGCATTAACTGTTTCAACTGGCGGCCGTGTGTGTACTGCGGCGATTGCTGCGGCGACGACTGTTGTTGCAAGTGTGGTATTTTACTTG